AGAGAGAGAGAGAGAGAGAGAGAGAGAGAGAGAGAGAAAGAGAGAGAGAGAAAGAATGACAAGCACCTCTTCAGTTCTAGAATTAGATTTTCAATTTATAGCAATTTCTTCAGCTTTAATCTTTCTCCTGTTTATCGAGAATGCTTAAATTTTACGTCTTTCGAGCTCCTGACTCTTCCTCCCAAATTGCTACAATTCTAATCTGACTCACTTAAATCATCATTAAACGATGTCTTTATATATTTTACGGAGCTGCAAGTGATATAACAATTACATATCCATATCTAAATGTGCACACATACATGCATATGTGTGAGTGTGTGTGTATTTTACATACCACATGGCAGCACACACATCAAACATTTGTGCGGCATTCTGTCCCCCCATCCCCCAGCCGCACGTTCGTTCGTCCCCCCCGTCCACCTCTCAGAAATGAATGCTGGAGACAGTGCGGCATATGCCTTCAGAATATTAATGTATTTTGAACTATGCACTTTATAATTTATATAGTCGAATGTTAAATGTATATATAACCTATACGCAGCTGAGTCAGAAATCTACTTGGATATATCAAGTCGTGTTTGCAACCCCCAAAAAAAACAGAAAACGAATGAAATATTGAAACAATTGTGGCATATAAGATTGTCTGTGCTCACACGCTCGCTGTCTCTCTTTATCTCTCTCTCTCTCTCTGGCTCACTCTCTCTTTCTCTGTCACTCTCTGCCCATCTCTATCTCTTTTACTTCGTATCATTACAAGTCATATATGGCATATTGCTGTGGCTAGTAACCTCTTGCACATAATACATAAGTTTATTAAATTTAAATTGGCTTAATTGACCCTCATTCGTTTTCCGTTGCGCCGCTCAATGCGCTTCAACCCAGACAACAGCGAATACAACAACAACAACAACAAAAAGACAACGTTGATTCTGGATCTGTGTGTATATATATATGCATGTATGTGTGTGTGTGTGTGTCGCTTGTTTGCCTCCATTGTGGAGCATTCAAAGTCAATTGAATTTAAACGAATGAAACTACACACAATGTGTAGCAGGAATCTTATTGTAGTTGTTGTTGCTCTCGTTGTTGTTGTTGTTGTGGTTGTTTATTGTTATTGTTGTTGCTCTTGTTGTTGTCTACCACTTGCCTCCATTTGATTGAGTTTGCTGCTGTTGTATCTGCGTCAAGTACTAAAGCTTGTCCAAAAATATGCAACAAATTGTCTGTTGTGTGCTCTGTATGTGTGTGTGTTGTGTATGCGTGTGTGTGTGTGTGCAAGATGCATCAAACAATAACTACAACAAATTTAAATAACCAACTATATGCATGCAAATACTTTTCATTTTCATTCTCAAGTGAACAACATAGATTAACAATACGAATAAGTATCAATTGATAGCACTTCGCATATGACTAACACAATTTCCTGTGCTGCTCTGCTTGCAGTACTCATGTAGTATGTGAAATGATTAAGAGCGAGTGCTGTTGTAGAAATGCCCTATAAGCGTGGCTACACAGGGAATTTGTGCCAGTTGATAGACTGATTTACATAGATTGAGCTACAATGCCAAAGGAATCCCTTTTTAAATATACTCATAGTTCGAATTCGCATATCGATATCAAGTGATGTTTATATATAAAGTTTTATATACTTTCAATTGGGCTTTAGGGATAGTAATAATAATAATAATAAGTAAGTTTCCCAATCCACAGCTGTATATCAATATATATAAATTGCTAATTTTAGGAATTTCAAGGAAGGTTCTTAATAAATGGAAAATATCAACTAATAAAACTTCATATACCGAATTCTAATTTGCTAAAACTTGGAAAAACGATTACAATATATCTATGTATAATACGATCTATTATAAAAAATAATTTTTTAATCTCTAGCTCTCATTTAGCAACCCCTAACTAGACTCAGAGCTCATATCAATACTTTCAACTTTAATCAATATCTCTCCACACATTTTCAACAATTCCAGGGTATATGCAGTGTTGATCATGCAGGCAAAACACTTGTATTTCATTTGCTAACTAACAAGATTTTCTACTTAGCCTCAACTTTCCCTTGTGATTAGGTAAATGTTAATTTTTCGCATTCATTTACAGCCAAAACCTTTCTTCTACATAGAATCTATATTTAATTAGATGTCTATTTTAAAACTCTCAACACACACACACACAAACAAACCTATATAGCCAGTTAGTTTTATGCTCAGTTGAGGCCATTTTCAGTGCGCTTTTCACTTCACATTACACAATACCGTTTAGCAGAACTTTTCCTTTGAGTAAGTCCCACTGCAGTGCAGGCAAATCTCACCAAATCTTTACAAGCACACTGAGAGCTGAACAGAGCTGAGCAGAGCCGCTGCCGTTTAACAACTGCACGGGGGTCTCAGCACAGCTTTGCTTCCAAGTTTAGTCGGCGACAGAGCGACATCGACATCGCTGCCGATTGTGATTATCGCGCCTTTTGCGGGGTCTTAACCCCGCACGGAGAATTGACCAGTCGTAGGAGCAACAACTGCTCGTGCCTCTGTCTGTCATATATGTATATACACTATATACAGCTGTATATATGTATTGCATGTGCCAGCGCAAATGATGTGAAGCACAGTTTAATATTTGCTTTCACTGTAATATATTTCATATACTCTGGCTGGGCACGATCCATGCTCGAAATCGGCTGTGAGTCTTGTAACGCGCGACCGAGAGAACGTTGTCGCTCGAGTGCGATTCTTCAACTGATTTGTGCAGCGATCGCTCGGACAGTCATTGGATTTTTGAAAATAACCATCAATTTATTACCGAGCCGCGATCTCCTCTGTGTGCGTAAGCGAGCGAGTGTGTGCGTCCGACACGCCGCCCTCATATACATACATACACACACTAATGTAGCTGATGATGTACTACATCAACTTCAATTCCGCAACAGTAGGAAGAACGAACGACCCGCCCAGCCCAGGCAGCCACAGTTGATTATTAACTAAGCCCGGCAAATGTCCCGCATTTATAGATGTAGTCGAAATAGCAGCCCCCTCTTTTCATATGGGATTATTTTATCTCAATGCAGCTTGTTACAGTTTATTTTTTCAATCTTAAATCGCCATCATTGCCGGCTTTTCACACACACACTCACACACACACAAGAGATTCGGAGAGGCATACTATGTACAGATTTAGAATCAGATTGCCTTTCATATAATAGATTAGACTGAGCCCAAGTGCGAAATCCCCTATGCATACATACACATATATTCTTTTGTATATATGTATAATTCATAAGCAATATTGCTCGAGGCATTTGGTCAATTGCTAAACAGCTGCTGGGCGTGTGCATTCTATTGAATTTGATGCACTTTGGCGCAGGGCAGCATGAGGGTCAATCGGAAACATCCGAAAATTTACGAATATCCCACACTGAGGGTCACTTAAATTCAAAATAGAGAAATTTCCAATGAAACTACAAAATAATGCAATAACATTAATTGAGTTAAGAAACTGAAATTGAATATAAGAAAATGATAATAAAAATAAAATTTC